CCCCCCCCCAGCGGTAACGGAGACGGAGCCCCCGGCAACGGTAGCCATGGAGGTTGACTCCGAGGCCGCCAAGAAAGAGGCCGCCGCGGCGGCGACTGCGGAGGCCGCCGCCGCTAAGAAGGCCGAGGAAGCACTGGCGAGCGTGGTGGCGGCGCAGCTGCCCGAGGTGGAGGTGTACTTGTCGACCCTGGTTTTAACGACGCTGCTGCGGCACAAGGCAAACGCGGACGCGGTGGCGGTCGCGCCGAGGCTGCTGGAGCGGGCCGTGAGCTTCAACCGGAGGTAGGTGCGGGGGCGCGCGCGCGCAAAAGGTATTTATCTTGAGCACTTGCTTTTTTTATTGTCTGGTGATGGGAGGAGTGTGTGCCGTGTTGGCATTTGGTGTGCTCCCCCCGGCTGAGAATGTCTTGGGGCCGTTCGTGGCCGCAGTGGCTTGTGGCAGTGAGAATTGCGTCGCAGTGTGGCTTTCGAAGGCCGCACCTTCTCCCTGCCTACCGTGCTGCCCTTGTTGATTTGTCTTGTCGCTCCTTGTGCATGGCGTAGGATAGCGTAAATAGATCACGGCACCGCGTGACGAAGACAAGACGCTGCTCTGGCTCTCGCTGGCACCCAAACTAATGGTACTTTCCTCTCTCTCAACAAATCCACTGCTGTCCGTCCCCGTCACACGTACGCGCGCGTGCGTCTCTATTGGAACTAACCGATGCGCCATTGTGCACACGTGAACGAATGTCAACGTTTCCAAGGACGCTCGACTCCCTCGCGGCGAAGATGGTTTTCTACTACTCGTTGGCGTTCGAGGTGTCCGGGCGGCTGCCGGAGGCGCGACCGCGCCTGCTCGGGCTTCACCGCACGTGCTGCCTCAGGTTTGTCAGGCCTTTCTTTCTCTGCGCGCTTCCGACCACCGCTGCGAGCAGCGTGTGTCTCAGGCGGAGGTGGTGTGTTTCGTAAGTGGGCTCAAGATGAAAATGCTGCAGTATTTTCTCTTGTTTGACGGCAGTGTTTGCTGGATCTTCCGCTCTTTGGTGATGGCCAACATTGTCCGCTCGAGTGTTGCTTTGCTGTAGGTTCTCGGAACCGTCTTCGAGAACGATGCGGGCAATGTTTTTCTGACTCGTGGTTCGTCGCTTGTGGCGTCTTTCGATGTACGCCAAACCCGCCACGTGGAATTGTGTTTTTCGGGCGCGTTGTTGGGTCGGGTTGTGTCATTCATGATCGCGCAAACGATGGCATGCAGCTTTCCTTTTCGTCCGCATCCATCCCCGTCTGTCTTGTGCATGTAGAGGCCCGTCTCCGGGCCTCTCTCCTACTGCTCCTTCGCCTCACTTGCTATGCTTAGACTTTCGGCGGTGTGGAAATTCCGACTTGTTCTGGGTCCGTAATGGGGTTGTCACGACGCCACGCGGTACTCGTTTGACGTGCATGTTTTTTTGTAGCATGCGCTCATGAGCGCGACGCAGAAGCGCGATTTGTTTGGCGCTCCGGTCACGCTATGATTAGCGTCGACTGCTCTTGTCCACTACTGGCACCACCGCCATCAACAATAACAACAAAGTTCAACGATATCATCCTGCAACTTAACGACGACGATGACAACAAACAATATCGCCGCTGACACGACAACGACAAAAGGCACGACGAGATCGGGCAGGCGACGACGCTGAACCTGCTGCTGAGGAACTTGCTTTCCCAGAACCTCCTGGACCAGGCCTACAAGCTCGCTTCCAAGACCAACTTCCCGGAGAGCTGCAGTAACAACCAGTTCTGCCGATACCTGTGAGAATGCGCTGCGTGTGTTGTTTTCTTCATATTTCACAAACGGTTCCGGTGTCCGCTCAGTACCTTCTGATGTCCGTACTGGTCCAACTCACGCGGACGCCTCGTGCAGTAACAGGCTTAACCATACCCAAAGGAGGGGTACACTCTTCTACAAATCAAAGAAACCGGAAATAGATTGATTGGGTGTTTTTTCCTCTTTTTGATGGAACAGGGCAAGACTCCTTTGGTGATTTTTGTCCATTTTTTTTGTTGCCGATCTCTCCGGATGGCAAACTTAGACAGGACTTTGAAGCTGTCGCCTACGTCGCTGCAGTCTCAACGACGACTTTCGTTATTTCTTTTCATTTTTTTTCTTTTAGGCTCATTTCCTATTGGCGATTTACCAACACTCGCGTACAATGGATCCATGGACAGACTCACCGCTTGTTGTGTAGCAAGAAGCTGTGGCAAATATCTTGTCGTGGCCGCTTCTTCGCGTTTCTGGTGTTGAAGAGAACCGTACAACTTACTGCCGTAATTATCCTTGCTGCTGCTACAATGTTGGTGTGGCTGACCTCCTCGTTGCATCAACTGGAACCGTACCCGAAAATGACGGTATTGCTTACGAACTGTTGTGGGTTTCTCTCTATCGCATCTCCTCTTCCGTTGATTCGCTCTCAAGTTACTACATGGGGCGCATCCACGCCCTTCAGCTGGACTACACGGACGCCTACACGAAACTGATGCAGTCCAGCCGTAAGGTCCCTCAGAACACGGCCATGGGCTTCCAGCGGGCGGCGCAGAAGCTTGTCATCATTGTACAGGTGTGTGTGGTTGCCGTTGTTGCCAGTGCCACTGCTGTTGCTGCTGATTGTTGGCATTTGGAGTGCCCAGCACCATGTATGTAGATTACGACGTGACCGAAACACATGGTCACGTTTTTCTTGCACACACATGTGCATACTGTTAGCCCTGCGCCTGACTCTGTTTTTGCGCCCAAATTCGGTCACACGGAGCTTCTTTCGAACAGCCCATTCTTCTGAAATTTGTATTACGTGGCCAATCAATCCCCACATTTTGGCGGCCACGTCAGTTCAACAAGCGAAGAGACTGCACAATCCGCGGTGGTGGGTCTTTTTTTTTTTTAATTGATGACGGAATAGGATTGCTGTAGCCGCCCCCGTCCCCGTCCGGCTGTGGGGCCGCAGGGAAATTGAGTAGGCGTAGAGAGCAGGACAGTCACCGCTACTCATGGTGCAAGAAAGGTCGCAAAAGCTGCAGTAGCGCCGGCGGTAGAGCCGTTGCGCGCTGGCACAAGTTTCAGAGATGAGCGGATGCGCGGAAAAAAATACACCCGATCAGCGAGAGCAGGTAGGCCTGATTTTACTACAATACAGCAAAGGAATTGCCGCCGCCGCCCTTCCCGCCCCTCCAAGGGGTAAGAGAGACACGGCGCGGAAAGCAGGGAAGCCACTGCTACTTATGGCGCAGCAACGGCAGGAAGAGCTGCAGTGTAGCGCCGGTGGTGGAGTCAAGCTATGTCGCCCAAAAGTCAGTTGAACGACGCGTCACACCCAAACGGGTTTGCAACGACCACCCCAGTAATGCCCGTCTATGGGACTCGACAGGCAATGCAAGGAAAGTAAGAAAATCACTGCTACTCGTGGTGCAGGAACGGTAGCAACAGCTGCAGTAGCGCCAGTGGCAGGGCTGTTTGCGCCAGTGCAAACTTTGGGGATGATGAGCGGAAAAACAAGCGCCGAACCAAAAAGAGCAGGTGATGAGTTTTTTACACCATGGTACAACGAAGGAACTGAGGCCGCCACCTCCCTTCCCGCCCCTTCAAGGCGTTAAAGAGACACTACGAGGAAGGCAGGGAAACCACTGCTACTAATGGCGCAGCAACGGCAGGAAGAGCTGCAGTGTAGCGCCGGTGGTGGATCAAGCAATGTGGCCCAAAAGTCAGTTGATGAAAAAAAAGCTCGAAGAAATCAATCCCACACAACTTGGAGCTTTTTTCACCGTCGCGCCTGCTTCGCCCCCGTTCCCAAATCCCAGACAGACCACCCTTTCGCACCCTCCCCCCTAGCATTGCTCCCTCCAGAGCTTACTCCCTAGATGCTCGCCCCGCAGACGGCAGTGGACGTCCGCGCGCCCCTGACCCGCCCGTCGACACAAGAACCGGCTCGGTTGGTTGCGTGGTCACCACGTTTTTTTTGCTTGACAGGCGGGGACATTTTCTGGACTTTTGGACCCGTGCGTCACCCAAAACTAACCCACCTTAGGATTCGTACTGAGAGACGTCCGCGGAGCGGATGCTGGAGTGGTTTCTTGTATCACCTCCGTGAGAACGGTCGCTATGTTTTTGTCGGTGGCGATTTTCGCAAAAGCTCCAGACCCTCGCGGCCGCTGTGAATTTGGCCGAAAAACACTTGATTTTTGAGGTTTGATGGGACAGAATTAACCGATTGAAAAACTGACCGATAAAAACACGCATATGTCCTGTTCGCAGGTGTGCTCTGAACCGCAAGAACCAGTTCGTTCGTGGCATCGAGTATTCCGCGTTCTCCTCTCGCTTTCAAATATCAAGTCAATACAGGATTTCGAGCCGTCCACCGGAAACGCGGAAAAACATTTTGTTTGTGATTTTTCATGCAACAGCCTGACCACGCGTACATACCAAAAAGGGGGGTAAGGCGCAGGGCTAACTGTTTTGCGCAGCACCTTTTTCACGGCCTGTTGAAGCTTCGCCCGTGTGTGTGATACCCACCGCACCACGATACCACGAAACGTGCCCATTGCTCAACACCCGCGCCATTTTTTTTGTCCAGCTCCTGCTCGGAGAGGTGCCAGAACGATCGGTGTTCAACCAGAAGGGCTTCGTGGTATCCCTCAAGCCCTACCTCGCCCTCACGCAGGCGGTTCGACAGGGGGACCTCGTGGAGTTTAACCGCATCGTCGGGGAGGTGGGCTCGTAGGGCATTGCATAGGGATGGAGGGGGCACCGTCGTGCGATGAGGTCGAGGGGGGGGGGGGGG